GGTTCAGTGACCTAGTGACACAGGTTTGCAAACTGCAGGTGAATTTCCGAAAGGGTGAGTTCTAATCAATTTATTGGTGATTATTATTTTCTTAATTTAACGCAAGCTATGGCTTATTTCCGGCGATAATTCTGCAAGTTTCTGTACCTAAATTTTTCTTCGGGCTTTTTGAAGAAACTTATTCATTATCAGTAACATTGTTGACAGTTATTAAACTACGAATTTTTATACCAATACCTAATTATACAATCACTTCTCGTTTATTCTCTGTTACATTACCTTTTTGTTCACACGTTATTTGAAAAGGGAATTTACAAATTCGTACAAAGGAATTTACAAAAATGTAAATGTGCATTCGTCTTTTTACGTTACACATAATTTGCCTACATTTACGTTTCATTCATTAATCTCTTTAAATAACAAACGTCAGATGATAAAAAGTATGATTGTATTTGTTACGTCTTGTTTATTTGCTATTGTTATACGCGGTTTCCTGCGATGCATGGTGACCTACTTGTTCGGAGTTTCGTAGTACAAGCGTAGCGCGTAGCCACCGCTAGCGCGGGAACTCTGCTGGCAAACTCGCGCTCTGATTGGTCGCGGTTTTTCGTTAATATCTTCGTAACGAAGCCTCAGTTTACATTGTTGCTAAGGCAAAAGTTGTTCCAATTCACCCTCCGAGTGCCCCATTTCCGGGTCGGAGGACATTTTTGGGACACCCTGTATATTAAAGCTATTTTTATACTTGAAAACCTTTCTCTTTGTCACCGAATTATCTCAACAAGTTTATACTTTTATGTCTATGGTTAGCGGCTGCGTCATTTTTCCGAGAACTAGCATTGATGCATCAAAGACGATCGGAATTTGAACGGTCTAATACACAAATACCTATGAGACGACGAAACTAAAGGCTTCTTATGAAAGGTTAAGCAGGCTATACACGGTGAGGTTTATCTCGAGGCTTGGCCTCATGGGGTCGTCCCACGTTAGGGGAGCTGGGTCTCTCGAAGCTTATAATCTGTAGCAGGTTGGTAGGAGCCGTGCCGAACACACGGGCGAAGGTTCCCGAAAGGAACTTTGGGTGATGTGCGTGAGTGAAAAGGCTGAGCAAGAGTCACAGAGAGTGCGGGGTATGGAGTGCGAGAAGAGCGAGCGACAGCAAAATGTGTATGTTTCTAGTATTAATTATGAAATAGTTTAGTTTAGAATTATCCATGAAAGTGTCGTTCTTTTAAACCGAATATCCTATAGTAGTATGTTCAGCTTCCGTCGTCTCGCATAGTTACGTCTGACAGTGTGCGCTTTCTCTCTCTTTAAACGGACCGTTGCTGTGCGAGGTACCTACGTGACCGCGAACACAGTTTTTATACAATTAACTGTCTAATTACCTGCGACGAGCCTTTGTCTCTTTCTATTCGTATCGAACCGTCGAACGAGACGTACGAGTCAACTAAAGGGTGCTCCCTGAATTATAATACTTTTATTACGGGCGCTCCGGTCATTATAATCGTATTTTATCACTGTGTTTCGGTGCTTTGAAGTCTAGTGTTGGTTACTCGTAACGAAAGTCGTGTTCGAAACGTGCGAATTAGCTAAGGGTGCTCCCTACGTGACACACTGTTATATTACCGGCGCTGCGGGTATAACAATTCCGCCTACTGTTTTCGGTGCTGCGAATTATTGTGTCTATTCGTTATCGTTTTGTCATATCTATTTATTTGTGTACATTTTTGTGAGCGCAATATACTGTTTTGTGTGTTACAAATTCAAGAAGTTGTTCCTTCGAATTCCTATCCTCGAGTATAATCTCGAACACATTTATATGCGAAAAAGGTTGAAATTGTTAGGTATGGCAGTAGATATGTGTGTGCAAGAAGCAAAACTACCTTGTAAAAAAAGAAAACGGTCTCAAAGAATTGGCTAACTCGCAGAAATACAGATCCATGTAGGATTTGGTCTTTATGTTCCGGAAACATAGAAAATTTCTATACAATATTAAGAAAATCTTCCTGAAAAAGAGGGTTTCTTTTGGAACTCATTTTAATTTGTTCGCATTTTTATCCCGATACGAATTCGTTATATTTACAAAAACTTCACGACGAGAGATTTCATCTGGCCTCGAGGCCACTTCAGGCCTCCCATCTCCGGCGCACCAGAAATGAAGTAGCCGGAGTGAATCCGCTGCACTAGAAAGAGGGGAAGTTCATTTTTAGACGAATACACATATGGGTATATATTGTAATTCCACGTCAAGCAGATTACTTTTGTACACGATGTTTGGGATTTTGTTCAAATTGAAATATAATCCATGTGAAAATAGGAGGGATTTAAGTTATAATTTCGTTGATTTGAAATTGTTTAAAAAATGCCGACACTCACATTTTGCAATTATCATCGCTTCACGAAAACGAGTTCTACAAAAGAGTATTAATCTCTGTAATTATTAAAGATACGAACTTGATCTTTATTTCATTTTCATTGTAAAGGATTATTCTTTTTAACTAATATATGATGGTATGGGTCAAATTATTCCAAACAATAAGAGTATGTGAATATTATGAAATCATGTTGAACGCTTCACCCTCTGTGACTCTTTCACAGCGTTCTCACTCACGCCCATGCATTCGCCACGGCCTATCATCCCACTACAGATTCGGCCGGTAGACTCGCGCTCTGATTGGTCGGAGTTTTTCGTTAATATCTCGTTAACGAAGCCTCGGATAACATTTTCGTTAAGGAAAAAGTTGTTTTAAATCACACCTCATTTCGGGGAGTAGAAGCTATTTTGTGACACCCTGTATTGTCGCAGTTATAGGAGAATTTTATCAGAATAGGGTAAATAACTTTATATGTGTCAACTTTCTCCTCTATTATCCTTTTCATTTTCACTTACAAAATTGCAATGTGTTGTTCTAATTCCCAATATAGTTCAAATTATTAATCAGTTCTATGTCTACAACGCTTTGTAATCTGAATTTCATTCGTGTCGAGTTTTGCTTCTCTACTATTACTAGTAAGTAATGTGTTTTTGTGTATATTTACATAATGGCTAAATCAAATATTCTATGTAGTTCAGTACCGACAAGTACTTCAAAGTTGTACACACAATATGTGTACCTTCACACATCTATGCAAGAGGACCGTAACTAGATTTGATTACTAACCGGCTTTGATTAATAAAATGCGATGATATTACATGAAAGTATCAACAGAAAGTCGCAATCCAGGTAGGGTTCATTATGTAGGTAATTACATTTTTGTACTACTGTTTATTTCTGCTCATTGATGTGCCACTGTAAATGAACATTTTGTATATTAATGACAGTAATTTATTTCCAACAAATTTTCATACTAAATTGAATATCCAAAAACAAGATGAAGATCAACTATATACCGTGATTAATCTTGATAAAATATCCTGTATATTAACCCTTTCGCTACAGCGAACCACTCTGCTGTAGCACCGCCACTGAACGGGACCCCACGCTGAAAATGTACACATTGTGCTTGGGTAGTTTTCGGCGTCTGAGTTTAAATCTTACGCCTAATCAACTCCGCCCTGACATGCTTTTAATACTCTCTTTACGGCATACGTGGGAGTATTGTTCCTCTTTACAGAGGAGCCTGCGGTGTATGCACAATTGATTTACATAGCGAGAAACACGTGAATAAATAATATTATGTTGATAAAGCGAAGTGTGCCCGTAACCTTATAATATGTTGTTCTGAGTAGGTTAAAGAAAAACTGTTCTTAAATAAAATTACCGACGCCGACTATGGACGGATTCTACAGCACATAACGTGGATGCCGAATATATTCGGCGCAATGTTGTCTCTATTATACTTATTCGGTGAAAAAGATAATTGAAACATTTAGTGTATTCATATCAATAGGTTGTTTCTCACGTACGTATATAAGTATGTCTATGTACATACAGTGGACTCTTGATATATTGCATCAGTAAAGACGCTATAATTTTGCGAAATTCGGAATCGCATGCGCGCAGTAAGCGTGGATGGTCACAATTTCAACCCCTCGTAAATTTCGATAAGAGCTTCGGCAGCTGACCTTGTTAAATATGTTGCCGGAACAGAAAATGACAGCAAGCGAAAAAGAAAGTGATACTGAACGTGAAGCCGCTGGTGAAGATTTAAATGCCCGTCTTTCAGTGGGACAACACTAATAAAACAATGAAAATTGCTGAGATATTTCTGATTAAAATGGTACCAAATACAATATAATTTGGACCATACTTACTCATTGAACACTTGATCAATATCAACAAGTAAATATAATTAAAAATATATCATGTTTGGTTGTATTTTAATCAGAAAAATCTCACAAATACCTTAGCAAAAGTTTCATTGAAAAAAAAAATAAAAAAGTTTCTTCGTTGCATTAGTGTTGTCTTACCCATATGCGGGCATTTAATCTTTTCTGGGTTCCCCTCGTTCGGTCGTCGACTCGTAAAGAGGAACAAATTATCCGCTTATCCGGTACCAAGGGGAATCCTCTCAGTGGCTTGATAACTCGCGGGCACAGACAGCGTGTAGGCCTTTCCGCGCATCTAATGTGGCTTTACTGTATATGCATTGAGAGCCCCTCCATGCTATGTTCTGCCGTTGTAGCCCCAGCCACAGCGCCTGCGCAAGAACTGGGTCGTGCTGGCAAGAACGGCGCGGCGTATGCCGTATGCAATGGGGTGGGAGAGTGAATTTGTATGCGTGAAAGTATGTCTGAAGGGGAACTGCCTCACGCGGCAAGATACCAGGAGTCAGTTCACTGTACTTACATATGTCTCTACGTGGATCTGCGAACGGAAATGTCTTGTAAATGAACGTAATAAATAACACACCCTGAGTTACTAATTTGGTTAAATATTGGAATATTTCGTTCTGCGTTTCTCGGATGTCATATTGGCGATAAAATTGCTGGGAAACCCAGAATTATTTATAGGATTCAGTCAAAGTAAGTAAATTGTAACAATTGATAGACTTACTACATCAGGATCCCTGACAGTCATATCCAAATACGGCAAAGGCGTTCCGTTCGGCACATTCTCTGGAATTTCGATATTGTACTCGCGGTGATTAAATGTTGGAGGTTCATCGTTCACGTCCTTTATTGTCACCGTAGCTTCGGCCGTCGAAACCGTCAAACCATCATTGCCTGGCATTCCATCGATTAATTCCCGTGCTTTTACCTTCAACGTGAGTACTCCAGTCGAATCCTTCAACGCTTCCCTATTCAATGGCTTCGCTGTCCTTAATTCACCCGTTTCGTCGTCCAACAGGAAATAGTCGAACGGATCTAGAGACAGTTATTGTTATTATTTCCAGTTGTATGGTTTTTTTATTATTAAAATCATAAATAAAACTATGAGTAACACTATGTGTTCGATAGTAACATAAAAACACATTTAAAGTTTTTTTTTTTCATTCTCGAGTTAATCATATGTATATAGCACTATTAAAGCTTTTTATTTTTAATTAGCTATTCCTGCACCGTACAAAAACCCTCTTGTGACTTCATATTCCATTTCCAATTCGGTTTTTTCTTTTGTTTAAACAACATAAGCATCTTTTAACGCGCTTGTCCTACGACGCACATTGGGGTATTTGACCCGAAAAGTGGCACAAAACTATTTCAAAATTTACTCAATCTTCAAACTCTCATAACTTTGTAACTATTCATCCAAAGTTGATGACATAAAAACCATTTTAAAGGTTAAACTTTCTAGTTTTTGGCTGTTTAAATAAATTTTATCAAAATGGTGTTCTAGAGGATAAAATTCACCCTTAAATAGGAGTGTGCCAAATTATATTTTTCCTTGATGTTCGTCAAGTGCTACAGAGTGCAAACAATATTTTCTTGCAATTTTGATATATACCACCGGAATGTATAATTGTTTGTCTTTAAAATAAAGTAAACCTCATCGAACAAAAGTATTGGCACACCTACATTTTTTAAATATAATTTATTATATTGTAAGATCTAATATTTGGTATTTAAACCTTTTCTTCTAATAACTTCTTTTAATCGATTAGGTATTGAATTCACTAATATTTTCGTTATCTCTGACCCTATTTTATGCCATTCTTCTAAAATTGCTTGTCTTAACTGTTGTTTATTCACAATATGGTGTTTTTTAATTTTCGAGCTAATTCGTTTCAAATATGCTCGATAGGATTTAAATCCGCTGACTGTGGTGGAGTGGGTAACGTATGAGGTGTGCTGAAAACTATCTATTGTCGAACAATATAGGCGGTGTGCTTAGGGTCATAATCATGTTGGAAGTAATAGTTGTTTCCGAGATATAATTTATTCACGCTTTTTTTAAGATTCTGTTTTAAAAGGTTTAAATAGACATATTTATCCATTATAATATCAATAAACACAAGCTCTCCTAGGCCAGAAGAGCTCATGCACCCCCAAACTAGCACACCGCCACCCCCATATTTGACCGTTTTACTGGTGTTCCTTTCATTTAATTCTGTGTTACATTGCCGCCATACTTTAACTTGCCCATCCGATTGATAAATATTAAATTTGCTTTCATCCAAAAATAAAATTTTGTCCCAAAAGTTGAAATCTTTATTTACATACATTTTTGAAAATTCTAATCTTTTTATTTTGTTCGTCTTACTAATGAGCGGTTTCTTTCTTGCGATTCTTGAATTATATCCGGCAGCTCTAAGAGTTCTACGGATAGTTATCGGATGAACTTTCACATTATTTTAATTTTCTAATTGTGCTGCTACTTCTGAAGAGGTAGTAGTAGGATTTTTCTTTATTGTGTTAATAATTTTTCTCTTCTCTCTAACGGTCAATTTTTGTGGCTAGCCACTTCTATCAGAATTTCTTAAATTTTCCGTGTTAGAAAATAGTTTAACGACACTTCTTATCGTAAAACGACTTCTATTTACTATTTTTGCAATAGCTGCGTAAGACTTTCTTTCTTTTGATAAATTCAATATTATTTTCCTTTCAGAAATTCTTGTCTACTACGATTTGCGACCCATTTTTGTGCGTTTTTGTTTTTACAACAATACTGGCAACAATTTATGATAAATGAACATCAAACTGAATCGTGGAACATTCGCGGGCATGACAGTCGTACAAACTTTCGAAATATTTATTTCAAAATTCCCTAGAAACATAATATTTTTATGTGTGCCAATACTTTTGTTCCGTTGAAAACGAGCCATGATATGGTTTTTATTTTTTTTCTTTGTTATAGGTCTATTTAACTTTTATGACTTGTAATATATTTGAACTTCGGACTCCAGACTTATATTTGAAAAAAGGCTTAAACAAGAAATTGCGTTCTTTTCATATTTAACATTATGTATGGAAATACCTCCTGTGCCAATACTTTTGTTCGCCATTGTATATTGGTATTACACTTCCTCAACACTACATTTGTAATAAATCACTTTCTTAATATAGGTTTCTTGGCATTTTCTTCGAGCACAAAAATTGTTGACTTTCAAGCCTCAATTTATTCCTAACTACTGCTGTTTTCGACAAACCAAGATAGCAGTTTACTTTTATTCATTCTTAGGAACATAGGGACAAAGTTTCATTCATTTTGAATAAAGATAATATTTGGGGTTTTGCCAGATAAAATTTGGTACTGCCATATTGGTATGTAAACGTATTGAAAGTTTCATTATAATTTTGAGTATTTATTTCTATGCAACATGTTAAAAGTTCATCAGACGTCAAGTTTTCGATTCACTCTTTCGAATGCTACATGCAGTCGGCGCATTAAGGTCATTGACATGCCTGCGAAATCTATATTTCTGTGAATTTTGGATTGAACCTTTGAAATAGCATTCTTAGGATGTTATATGATGAAAATATACAATAAAAAAGATCAATTTTTCAAAAAATCTTGACTGGAGGGTACAACTAACTTCTTACTTTTGCCGTTTGCTACTTTCGACCATGGTCTCCCTTGTATGCAGATGTCAGTACCTACTTGTACATTGAACTTTAAGGTACAGAAATTTGGAGTTCTCTTAAACAGCAGATCTCAAAATGTATAAAATTTTAGGGGTGTTCGACTTGTGGTTTGAAACCAAAAAATCACATAAACGTTAATATTGCAAAAATGTAAAAATAAGCGGACCTCTTACACGACGGAAAAAAAGAGTGTGGCGTTTACTCACTAGTGACCAATTCATAGATCATTTTCCTCGGCATTATCCCTGGCTTTGATAGTCATAACCAGTGTTCCAATGGGATCGTCCTCGCGCACCACACCAGTTAATGAGTCTAGAAATTCCGGCGGGCTATTCTGAATGTCCGCTACTTTGATTTCGACCCCCGTGGTTTCATTGTTCAGACCATCCTGTAAGCAAAATTCATACGTGTAAAAGTAATTTTATAGTTTGTTCTCGAGTTACGTTTTTCTGATTCTACTGAGCGAGGCAATATGGTTCCTAGTTGGTCTTTTGTATAGATTATATCTTTACATATGTTCGTAGAATTTGAACATAGAAAGTCCTCCTATACAGTGAACTAAATTAGGTGAAAGAACTTTTGCACATCAAAGATGTTTTTATTATATTATAAATTGTATATCCCAGTGTTCCGTCGTAGACCGAAATGACGGCTATAGAATCAGACAGTACCGTTACTTTTTATTATTTTATTTCCTTCATTCAAGCAATTTTATTTTCGTTGACACAAAGAGAATAATAGACAAAATAAGCGAACATTTGGTCTGCAGTCCGCCACATGCGCTCGGTAACCTGGGACCCATCCGCGCCGGGCCTTACCGGGGCGCGCTGACTCGCAGACAATAAAGCCATAAAAACACTACCGTTGAGAGACTCGAAAATTCGTCGCGGTCAACTCGTACGGAAGAGAGGTTTGGAAGAGAGGTCGAAGGAGAGGTTTTCCACCTCCACGGCGCTTGGAAAAACCGAGAAATTTGCCTTCCCCTTCAGGACATAACCAATAAGGAGGCGAGTTTTGGTAACGCCTTCAGAGAACTTTGAGGAAGCGCGACGTCACACGAAACTCGAACACTCAATCGCAAACACTATTCGCAAACATTCATTCGGAAACACTCGTTCGCAAACATTCATTCGCAAAACACACTCGCATTCGACAAGTCGTATACGAACATAGATCCGCATTCGAACACTCGTACTCGAATTATTCACGCACTCGTTTTGACAAGAGTCACACGGACTCAAGACATTCACGTACTCGTATCGACAAGAGTCACACGGACTCAATTTATTCAACAACAGTCACCTCACGATTCGTCAGCTCCAACGGTCGAGCAATTATATTCGTTTTTCTCACCAGAGAATATTGAAACAGTTGCCTAATATTAATTTGGCGGGCAACAATCGCAACCGGACGCGTACCACGACGGTCGAGCCTGGAATTTACAACTCCAGGCGGATTCGAAAAAGAAATCCACGCGGACGGACGCGACACCAGTATGATATGTAATGCACGCAAAATGTCCAAAATGGTTAGAACGATATAAATATATCTGTGAGTTTTTAAGGGAATCCAGTATAAATGATTATATAGGCATTCACTAGCGCTTATTAATTATTTGAATGCTTTTATAATTTTAAAATTAAATTGTGTGTGTGTGTGTGTGTTACCACGTTAATACGATGGTAAGTGCAAGTTAAAAGTTTAATAAGAATAGAAAGTACAGTTAGATATTTAAGTCTCTTATGTTTTATGTTTACTGCTGATTATTCTCGTGATTGGTTTCTATTGCGACTCATATTGTGTCTAAGTTCATGGTGAAAGCTCAATTTTTGAACTGACGTCTTGCCGTGAATAGATTTATCCAGATCAAGTATACCTCCGTTGGCATAATAAAAATCAATTCTCCCGCTCTATACTCACAGTTGCCATGAGTAGCAGTTGATAAAAGGGCCTCTCCCTGTAGTCGAGTGGCTGCCGCAACACTAGCGCGCCCACATACGAGTTTTGGCTTCTCTCCACATTAACTATGCCGAACTTTTCGCAGGCGTCGAGGAACTGAAAAAAAAACCGCAATTATTCTCTATACAGACGTTGTAGTTCAGGACATGTTCACAGATTTGAAAGCATGAGACATAATATCTATGATGTACTTCAGGTACGTACGTTGACACAGATTTGAATGTATTATATTAATATTTAATAAGTGTACACTTATAATATTATATAAGTGTACCAAAAAATAGTCCACTATTTGTTATGAAACTATAGTAGTTTCAAAATGATTCAAATACCTATGCTTTTTGAACACTATTATGTAGTAATTTGTTCCCGCGATCATACGGAATTTTGACTAAATAGAGAGTTAGAAAGGTATTTTGAATCTAAGATGTACTATCACCATATTGTAACGGTAATGAATTACTTGTTGGTACACCTATGTAATACAAAACAGAAGTGTGTAAAGCTTTAAATCGATCATTTTTGAAGATTTAACTCTCTGCGATCGTAGCGCGCTATAGCATGGGTTACTGATCGGAATTATTTTGAAGCAGACAACGCCTTGCTTACGTCTAGTCAAATATTATTCTGTGAAACCTATAATTTTTTTATTATAATGGAACTCTTTTACTATTATAGACAATAAAATGTTTTAGTGCGCTTAATTATAATATTACGAGGTCTGATCAAAAAATTCCAGGACTGTTTAAATTGCGCGCCAACGAACGGTCGGAGCGTGGTGCAATTGTTTTAAATGTTAATTCTAACCTTCCTGAGGACGACCGAGTTTGCAAAATTTCGATAACCTTCTTGGTTGAAAATCTACAGCTGTTTCAGTGAAACAAGATATTTGCGTTCAGCGATTTTATGATGAATGAAAAAGAAGAACAACGCATTTGTGTGAAATTTTGTGTGAAAATGAAAAAAACATTCACGGAAACTTTTCAAATGTTACGGGAGGCTTTCGGGTACGACGTCGAGACCAAGACCCAATCATCACAGTGGACGTCAAAATCTTCTCCGAGACCCAAAAAAGCTCGCCGGGTGAGATCGAATGTGAAAGTGATGCTCACAGTTTTCTTTGACTGGAAGGGTGTTGTCTATCACGAATTTCTTCCGCAAGGTGAGACGATTAATCGTTTTCGTTACCGCGAAACCCTGAGAAACTTGCGCGAAGCAGTGAGGAGGAAAAGACCTGAACTCAGGCAAAGCAGGGAGTGGCTTTTGCATCACGACAAAGCACCCGCTCATTCGGCCCTGCTCATTCATGATTTTTGCACAAAAAACAGCATAACAGTCTTACCCCAGCCCCCCTACTCTCCCGATCTGGCCCCTGCGGACTTTTTCCTGTTTCCAAAGCTTAAGTACCCGCTGAAAGGAAAGAGATTTCACACGATTGACGAAATACAAGAAAAATCGCTGATGGAACTAAACAGCATTTCAGAAGAAGCGTTTTCCCGATGCTTCCAGCAATGGAAACAGCGGTGGAAAAAATGTATAGCTTGCCATGGGGAGTACTTTGAAGGGGACAGTGTTGAATAACTTGTACGAATTTTCAATAAATTTATAAAAAATAAGTCCTGGAATTTTTTGATCTGACCTCGTATACTCTATAGCAGACGTCGGAAACCTATGATCTGCGGGTCACCAAATGACCCATTTGATAATTTCAAATGACCCGTTTGAGTTCCGAAAATAAAGTATAATATATAAAAATAAATTATAAAACATAAACATGAAAGAAACACTTTGAGAAAATATAAATAATAGATTAACATTGACTCCGCGGGTCATAGGTTGCCGACGCCTGCTCTATAGTCTTCAATAGTACGATATCCTTCAAAACAGCTCCGCAGGCGCGGATTAAGATTTCTTGTCGCCCAGGGCTATCAAACCTTCGAGGGCCCCATTAATTGAAAAGCGGGGGACGAACAATTTTTGTAATAAAACATACAATAAAAAACATAATTCTTCAAAAATTGACATTTATTCTAAGCAATATAAAGTAATATTTATGTAGTCATAACAAACACTTGATTATAACGAACAATGCTTCGTTATATTTTAACATCTTTAATCTGATTTATTTTTACATTTAGCCTAATTTCTAATTATTTCAAAAGGGAAACGGTAAACAAAATTTCATCGAATTATTTTTGTACATGAATGAAAGGCTTAGATCGGTGCCCCCTGGAAAGTGGGGCCTGGGGCTGCAGTCCTCCCTAGCTCCACCCTTAATCCGGCGCTGATTCTCCAACATTTAGACCCGGTTTTCGCATACAAGTATTACAATAACAGATCGATTCCCATCTTCCTCCTTAAATTTTGCAATTGGAACACACTAAGCAATTTTTAAGCAAAGTGTTAAAAAAGTTCCAATTGTACCAATTTCTTCGACATTTAATGTCGAAAGGCAATGCAAATCGTCAATCCACAATTAAACAAGACCTTGCCAATCTTCCGGGATTAGAAAACGAAATTTTTGCATTCCTGAAAAGTATTTCGATTCTCGTGTAGCTAGCTGACACCAGATCGTTTCTAAGTCATCTTGTATTTTTAATGTAGTGATGGCAAATACTCTATAAATTGAATTAACATTAAAGAATTTAACATTAAATAACTCATAAACTAATGATCGTATGCGACTGACACAAATACAACGGCTTCAGAATTCCAAGCTCTATCACTGTTAAACCTCGTTGAAAAGCCAGCGTTACACCTGGGGAACACTTCTTATGAGCCTACGTCTACGCCAATGACAGCGATTTACCCCTTTATCTCATTTTATTTCAATGCTTATCCTTGGCGACTTCTGTCACGCAAGAGACGTGTGGTTGTGACTGACTCAGCCAATGACGACAACACGCGTCACTGGAGGTGGTGCGGCGAATTTAATTTGTCCGCAACTTATGAACTCCCAACTATACAGGGTGTAACAAAAATGTCCTCTGACCCGGAAATGGGGCACTCAGGGGGTGAATTGGAACTGTTGCGAAGTGTTCGCGAAAAATGTTGAAATTGGAGTATTTCACGAACGTCGCTTTCCGAAGAATAAATTAATATTAAGGGAATATTTGGAATGAATGAATTGACACTGGTGTCTTGTGTATAAATTGTATTTAGTATATGAAATTGCACTAGACTGGTGAAGTGGTCTCTACTGATGTTGGATGCAGAATGTGTAGTTGTGTGGTACGGAAAAAATCTACAGGTTTGTGTGTTGCTTGAATGGTGTGTTGGAGTGGCGGATGTATTTGTACATGATTGGTGTTCTGAGTTGGTGTGGGTGTGGCAACGTTTGTTTATGATGTTGGAAGGGAGAACGATGCGCTGAAATTCCCCTTCTTGAAGTAGATCTGGAATTCTTGGAATCGATGGTCAGGAAAAACCGTAAATTAATAAAAATACGCGAGTGTCCCGCACGTGCTTTTCAGCTGTCCAAGAACCCCAGGTTATGGACATCGTCAAACGTCTAACGGCAATTTGGAAACAAAAGGCCGCGGGTCGGTCCTTGGCTGAATGCGCTGGTAAAATTTCCTGCCATAAATGCCTCGATTGCTATAGCCCCGATTTTACTATAAGCACGTTTCAACAGGAACAACTTTTTGCTTAGCAACTTACAGATTATTTTGGAATTCAATGATATAGCTACATTCAATATCAAAACAAACACAATATTGCAAATTATATGGTTTTTATATTTCTAATAATTTCCGAGATATTTGACGGAATACTAACAAAAATACGTATGACACATTTTCATGAGAACTACAATTTCACAGAGTTGTAATAAAATTGGCGATTGTCAATTCTGTTGTGAGTTCACGGTTGCTACGAGGCCGAAGATTTTAAGCCATAAATAACCGAAAAGTCCGCTCCGGCCTCTACAAAGGTCGTCGGACAGGGCTAAGCAGCGTCAACTTACACGTGTCAGTGAAATTTTTTCCCTGCTCCTCGAGGGAAACAATGTATATTGTACTTTCTAACTGGAAGCAACGGGTACGTTGGTGGTCCTCTTTATTTCCGACATTTTCAAGCCGATGCACGTGATGTCTGTTTTCTATCTCGAAGCAGTAGGTAGCCTGGCAATAAATTAACGGGCTACGAGCTTCGGTAAAACTGCGCGACGGTTCTTTCCTTGCACTTCTGCAAAGCACGTGTTATCCTAGAACCGTTGGTTTCTTTTTACCTAAATCCTGTCGTGGTGGGAGTGAACTCACAATGTAACGATGGGAAACTACTTGGGGTAGAGGAACCCTTACAGAAGAATTCTGTCAGTTGGTTAGCAATCGGGCGACAGAGATGTTCAGTTCACGGGAGTATTACGCAATGTTCTGGTGGTACGTACAGAATAACGGATATGCAGTTGCTGCTGTGCAAGTGTTTGGCTACGTAGAACATCTGATAAATTGAAAACAATCGGCCCTTTTTGGGGCCACGAATTTTCCTAACGTAGGGACAACACATTGGATTAAAAATACATTGTGTGGATTTGTGACACGTGATTGTGTCGGATGATGAGTGTTAGTGGTCGTGCAGTGAAGTGAATACATATTCGGTGGAATAACCCGGATGGACTTGACGTTACAACCCTTAACTTCGGTTGGTGAGGTATACCTGCGATCACCTGCGAACTGGGCGATACCTTGCCATAAACCATTTCGGCCATCGATGACCAGGATCGGTTCAGTGACCTAGTGACACAGGTTTGCAAACTGCAGGTGAATTTCCGAAAGGGTGAGTTCTAATCAATTTATTGGTGATTATTATTTTCTTAATTTAACGCAAGCTATGGCTTATTTCCGGCGATAATTCTGCAAGTTTCTGTACCTAAATTTTTCTTCGGGCTTTTTGAAGAAACTTATTCATTATCAGTAACATTGTTGACAGTTATTAAACTACGAATTTTTATCTCAATAACGAACTACGATTACTTCTCGTTCATTTTCTGTGACATTACCTTTTCGTTAATACATTTTTTGGAAAAGGAATTTACAAATTCCTGAGCCTCCCTCTTCAAATAATTATTAGTTTCCATTCTGTTGAAAAAAGTAACT